ATGCCGATGGTCTAGTGGATGTCAATGTGCGGTGATCACAGGATAAATGCGATCACCATCACCCTAATTTATTACCGCTAATCTGATCCTATAGATAGTAAAGCGGGGGCTGGCAAGTGAAAGGGGGAATCGGCTATCTCGCGCTGGAAACTGGGTGCAAGGCCTGAAGAATAAGAGGGCCAAAAATTAGCGATAGAGCAGTCCGGAATTGGCACAAATTCCACTTTATTGCTCTTGGTCTTTTCTTCGAGTTTCTTTATTTTCAATTCAAAGACAATCAAATCGAAAACATGTTGCGTGCCTGGGCGTTCCCTTACATGAAGCTGATGCACCCGTTCATCATTGGCGGCGTTGCCACCTGTACACTTTTGCCAAGATTCAGGACACCATGTGCGAGTGTAAGTGATAGCAGAGCGAGTTAAGGGGGGGGGGAGAGCCAACAGCAGAAGACCTATACTAACATAATTTCTGTTGATAACACTTGTAGCTGAGGTGTACGCCAACGACCCCGCGCAACCCCGAAGTATGCCGAAATTCAGGCCAGGAAGCACAAGGCCGAGGGCCACTAAATTTTTGCGACGCCGCAGAGGTTTGTCTTTAAGTGTTTCTCTGTCCTTGAATACATCTTGTCCGTTTCGCTGCAGAGGGGGTTTTAGTTTTTTCTTGGTTGAACACCATAGTCAGCGAACAATAGCCACTGAGGGTATAGCATTTAGTGTGCACGGGGGACGCTGTATATAGACTATCCTTTTTTTCTTTCTCTCTAACAGCTCTCGTTTGTACAGTGTTTTTGTGACTAAATGACACCAGAGGAGGAACGGCAAATAAAGGCAGCCAAGCGCAAGAGCCAGCTGATCGTCCCACCGCTAAACTTTGCAATGATCGCACCGGGAGTGTACCGATCGGGGTTCCCGAATCCCAAATCGCAGCCGTTCCTGCTGCAGCTGGGGCTGCGCACGATCATCTACATATACGATGGCGAATGCAAAGACTACCACCAAAAATTCATCAGCGACAACGACATCAAATTCAGGCACTTTTGCGTGACAGCAAACAAGGAGCCGTTCGAGGAAATGGACCACGCAATGGTGAGCGAGATCCTGGCAGTTATTCTGGACACGCGTAACCACCCGTTGCTGATTCACTGCAACCGCGGGATCCGCCGAGTCGGGTGTGTTGTTGGGTGCGTGCGCAAGTTGCAGGGGTGGGCGATGACGGCGATCTTTGACGAGTACCAGCGGTTCTCGGGTACCAAGATCCGGATTTCAGATCAGGAGTTCATTGAAGTGTTCCAGACACCGGTGCACGTCGACCCGCAGTACAGACCACAGTGGCTGCTCATATAGAGGAAAGCAAAAAAGAGGGAGTAATAAAAAAACATACAAGACAAGCTAGATAAACCCCCGTTCTACCCCTCATGCGGGGCTAACAGTCAAACTTCCAGATCTTGACAGACTTGTCCTTTTCCAGCGAGCCCGAGGCAATGATGTTTTTGAGCGGATGGCAGTCGACGCACAGGACAACATCAGTGTGGCCCTGCAGCTTCTGCACAATCTCCTTGGTCTGCAGGTTCCACAGGTAGATGCACTGGTCCTCGCTGCCCGACACAATCCACTTGCCGCCGGTGATGGAGAAGGTGCCAAAGCAGCAGTATGTCTCGTTCGAATGGCCCTTGTAGACCTTTAGGCATTTGCCGGTGTGGTAGTTCCACAGACGCAATGTGCTGTCGAGGGTCGACGCCAGAATGTACTTGCTATTGGGCGAGAACTTGACAAACGAGACCTGCGGGTTGTCGTCGTTGACGATTGTCTTCAGGCACTGGCCCGAGGCTACGTCCCAGATGCGGATGAGCCCGTCATAGCTGCACGACACAAGCATGGTGCCGTCGCGGTTGAAGTGCACGGCAGACACAGGGTCGGAGTGGGCCGGCAGGGTCTTGATGCACTTGCCGGTGCTGACATCCCAGATGCGCACGGTCTCGTCAAATGACCCCGAGGCCAAAAGCGTCGACTGCGGGTTATAGCACAGGCAGAACACGTAGTTTGTGTGGCCACGCAGCACCTTCAGGCACTTACCCGAGTCGCGGTTCCACAGCCGCACGGTCTTGTCGTCGGAGGCCGTGGCCAGGTACTGCGAGTCAGACGACCACGCCACGTCCGACAGGCCGCCTGCGTGGCCTTCCAAGGTCTTGTCGTACTTTCCATTGTAGGCATTCCACAGCTTCACTGTCTTGTCAGCCGCCGAGGACGCAAGCCAGTTACCGTCGGGCGAAAACTTCACCGACGACACGCCCTTGCGGTGGCCCACCAGCGAGTACTTTAGCACATAGTCCGGCTTCTCCGGCATTGCGGGGCGGGCTGCAGCAGGCGTCTGCGCAGGCGCCGGCCCATCGACACAGCCGGGCGCCCGGTCTCATTAGGAATCCGCCGGACATCCGCCCGATCCCCCTCATTCTCGCTAGCGCTCTCCTCCGACTCGCTCTCCTCCGCATCTGCCCGCCTACTGAGTGCCTTGCGCGCCAGCATCTTCGACGAAAACATCTTGCCGCCGCCCTTGCCGCCTCCCCGCGGATACACTGCGGGCTCCTCGTCTGAGCTCTCCGATGAACTCGTCGCTGGCGAATTACGCGATGGCGGCGCCGACAGCCGTTTGCCTGCGCCCAGAGACTTGCCCGCCGTCCGATGCGAGTGCATCTTGCCCCCCATTTTGCCCGCCCCGGGGCGTGGCGGCGGCGGCTCCTCGAACTCGTCAGAGGACGATCCCGAGTCCGAGCTGTGGTCGCTGAGGTGCGGCTTCTTTGGTTGTGTCGGCGAGGGTGCTGGCGTCAGCTTGCGCTTTGAACCCGGCGAATCTGGTGCTTCGTCGGCCATTTTTCTTCCCGGTGTTGTTAGCGACGACCACCCGACTCCAATGAAATAGAATTGAAAAAGCAAAGAAATTGAACTAAAAAAAGTGAAGAGTGGTTTAGAAATAAAAACGCGTTTGGAGGGATATTGGCATTAAAAAGCTCAATGTTTTTACAGCCTTGCTTGATTGGCTGCTGATGCGCACTATAATATCGTGACCGATACTGGGAGGTCTGAAGAGCGTGGAGCATATTAAATTTTTTCCAAAAAAAAAACTGTGCGAATAGCTGCACTCTACTCACATTCTTCTCCATGGACACGCTCGCCGACAAGCTAGCTGACACGCGCATAGGCCCTGTGGACGACGGGGCATTGCCTGGGTTGGAAGATGCGTACCGGAGCCTGCTTGAAGTAGTATCATATCCGATTCTGCACAGCGACAAATTCAAGCATCTAAACATCGAGCCTCCCAAGGGCGTTCTCCTCTACGGGCCACCGGGCGTGGGCAAGACGCACCTAGTCCGATCAATAGCCACCTCTACCAACGCCACCCTGACGACAATCCACGGGCCCGAGATTCTGACGCCATTCCTAGGTGACAGCGAGCGGTTGCTGCGGGAGAAATTCTCGACCGCCCTCCACACACAGCAGAATGGCCGACCGGCAATAGTGTTTATTGACGAGATCGACAGCATTGCGCCGCATAGGCAACAGAATGCAGGCATGGAGGCGCGGATGGTTGCGCAGCTACTGACGCTAATGGATGGGCTGAAGGGACGGGGCAGACTGGTGGTGATTGGCGCGACCAACCGGCCAAACGCACTAGATCCGGCTTTGCGCAGACCGGGGAGGTTCGACCGGGAGATCTCGATTGACGTGCCAAACCAGATCGCCCGGGCCAAGATCCTCCACCACTATTTGCAAGCAATGCCCATTGAGAATATCGACATTGCAGGGCTTGCTGAATCCACCAACGGGTACGTCGGCGCGGACCTATCGGCGCTCTGCCGCGAAGCCGCCATGCAAGCGATCCGTACAAAGGGCAAGGGAAAAGTGACGCAGCGCGACTTTGCCATGGCCATGCGGCACGTGCAGCCGTCGACCACCCGTGGCGTAGGCATAGATGTGGCAGAGACCACCTGGACCGATGTCGGCGGGCTAAAGGACACCAAGCTCAAGCTAATCCAGGCTGTGCAATGGCCGCTTGAGCACTCCCAGGTCATGCATAGATTGGGCGTCACACCGCCGCGCGGCATTTTAATGTATGGCCCGCCCGGCTGCAGCAAGACGACGTTGGTGAAAATCATCGCCACGCAAACCAAGGCCACATTCCTGTCGGTAAACGGCGCCCAGCTCTACTCGCCATACGTCGGTGATGCCGAGAAAACCGTCCGCGAGCTGTTCAAACGCGCACGAGCAGCCAGCCCCTCTGTGATATTCTTTGACGAAATCGAGGCTATCGTCGGCAAGCGTATGTTTGAAACAAATGCCCAAGGCGACTCGGTGCAGGAGCGCATTTTGTCGACCATGCTCAATGAGATGGATGGGGTCGAGGTAACTAGCAATGTACTGGTCATTGGTGCCACCAACCGCATTGATATGGTGGATGCAGCGTTACTAAGACCGGGAAGGTTCGACCGCATCATCTATGTGCCGCCGCCAGACCGCGCTGCTCGCAAGGAGATTTTGGAGATACGGGCCCGCAGAATGCCGTTAAATGCAACAGTGGATTTCGATGTGTTGGCAGATCTGACCCAAGGGTTTTCGGGTGCCGATTTGGCCAATTTGTCGCGCGAGGCCGCAATGATTGCACTGAGGGAGAATATCGACGAATCCAGGGTCAGCATGGAGCATTTTGACAAGGCGATGAAGGCAGTACAGCCGTCGCTCAAGGCAGACCTGATGGAGTACTATGGCAGGATGCAGCGCGAGTTCGGGTAAGGGGCAGAAGCGCGACTGCCGTTCCTAGAGTAGGCTTGGAGCCCAATGTATGCAAAGTTGGATCCAGAAGCCGCATCACTGTAGATGGCACGTATAGATGTTTCAAGACATTCACACTATTCAAAAACAAAATAGCCGTAATACAAAAGTTGGGGAAGGGCCATGTAATGTCGCCATTTGTGCGGGATATGGCGAGGAGAACAGACAGCATGTAGTAGAGGAAGCCACAGATGCAAAAAAGAAAAACAATGTACAAAGAGGAGCGATTTCTTTGTGTAAATGGGAAATATATGCGTCACATAGGATTAGTATATCTGAATCTGACACTATATACCTGCTGGGGAGGATACGCAATTGAGTTCAGCGGCCGCGCAATTCCAAAGGTGTGGGTTGGCAGGAGAATGTGACCACCCCACCGAGGGAGGCTATAATCACACCAGGCACCGACGATCTTTGAGAGATCACCAGGAGTGGGTGGTATATAAAGAGTTCATGGATTCGGGTTGGCTGTGTCACCAAAAAAACTCTTTCTTCTCTTTCACATATTTTTTCCCTCATATTACTACTATGACCTCGCCAGTATCGTCGCCAGCGCCGGTGATCGGCGCCCGGCTGATAAACAAAACAGTGAGCAGCACACAGCCGTTGCTGCATCGCACGCCTTCGCAAGCCAGCTTCAGCTCGTCGATACTGAAGGCTGGCACAGCGACGCCCAGTCGCACACAGCCGCTGAACGAAACCGGCAGCGTGCGGTGCATCCAGTCGCTGACCCAGCGGCCCGCAGGAAATGCCCTGGCGCTAACCGACGATTCGGGCGACTCAGTACTGACATTAGCGCAAAGCGACGACTACGTATTCAGCGGGTCGCAGCACGGCAGCATCCACGTGTGGAACCGCGACACATACCAGCTGGAAAAGGTCCTGCACGGGCATACAGCCGGGTGCCTGTCCCTGGCGCTGGACATAGGGCGCCGAGTGCTGTTCAGCGGCGGCGGCGACGGCAAAGTCCGAGCATGGGACATGGACAGCCTAAAGTGCCTGTATGTTGTGCATGCGGGAGTGAATTCTGGCGCCGTGCTGTCTTTGGAGTATGCTGAAGCGTCGGATTTGCTGGTGCTCGGGTGCCAGAACACGTCGATCCAGTGGTTCAATGTGGGCCAGAAAGACCTGGTGAGCCGCAGTGAGCGGAGGCGCGAAATGGAGAGCCGCAGGTCGCGGTTCTTCGACGACTCGGTCGAGGCCATTTTGGTGTGCGTACCATCTCTGCCTTTGGCCGGCGATGACGAGCCGGACAGCTCTGAGTTCTACGTGATCTCGGAGTCCAGCATTGTGCAGTATGCGCACAGCGGGTACGTCTACGGGCTTTTGGTTTCAGGCAATGTGTTGTTTTCGGCCGCCAGCGACGGCGCCATCAAGCAGTGGCAGCTGGCTGAGCATGGCATGGAGGAGCTGGCCGAGCTCTCCCGGTCGTTCTCCGATGGCGACTTGCCCGAAGACCTCAGCGTGCATGCGCTGGCGCTCGATGACGGGCTGCTGTTCGCTGGCCTGCAGAGCGGCGACATCGAAGTCTGGGATCTCGAGACCAAGCAGCGCATCCGCGTGCTGCACGGCCACTCCGGCAACGTCTATACGCTTCTGATCCACAACCACAGTCTGTTCTCGGGCTCGGCCGACGGCTCAGTGCGCATTTGGGGAGCCGACCTGCAGAGCCTCGGGTGGATTGCCAGCTCCGGCGACGCCGTGCTGTCCCTGGCCATTTCCATGGACGACATTCTGATCAGCGGATCTAGCGACAACGCCATTGCCTTCTGGGACGTGTCGGTAATGGAGCCGCCAGCCGACGCCCCGGTGCCTCCGATGGCTGTGCCCAGAAGACGGCGCGGACGCCGCATGATGCAGGCGCTGGATCAGTGGATCAGATTCAAGTCGGTGGCGGGCGTGCCTGAACTGCAGCCCGAGTGCCGCCGCGCCGCGCGGTTCCTGAAGGACCTGATGCGGCAGCTGGGCGCCAACGACGCGCGGCTGATCTCCAGCACGCCCGCCAGCAACCCGATCGTGTATGCACGGTTCGATGCGTCCCCGCAGACAGACCTTTGCGAGACTCCCACAGTGTTTGTCTACGGGCACTACGACGTCATGCCAGCCGGCGACGAGCTTCTGTGGAAAACCCAGCCCTTCGAACTGGTGGGCCGAGACGGATATTTGTACGGCCGCGGCGTCACTGACAACAAGGGCCCGGTTTTGGCCACGCTGTTTGCTGTGTCGGAACTCCATGCGTCTGGCGACCTGCCGCTGACGGTTGTGTTTTGCATTGAGGGCGAGGAGGAAAACGGCAGCCAGGGCTTGCATGAGACCATTGCGAGCAATCGCGCGCTGTTCGGCCGCCCGCGCCTGATCCTGCTTTCGTCGTCGTACTGGCTGGGCGAGTCCACGCCCTGCCTGACGTATGGCATGCGCGGGTCGATCCGCGCCAACCTGCGCATTGAGAGCACACGGCCAGCCGATGTGCATGCGGGCGTGTGGGGCGGGGCGGTCACTGAGCCGCTCACGTGCCTGTCCCATATTCTGGCGCAGCTGGCGGACCCGTCCGGCCACGTGACCATCCCCGGCTTCCACGACTCAGTGCGTCCCGTCAGCGACAAGGAATCCGCGGCCATGCGCGAGCTGGTGCAGTGGATCTCCGCGCACGAGTCGGCCGCTCCACTGGTCGCCCGCACTGTCATGTCGCCGCCCGAATCCCAGGCATCACCCAAGTCTACCGCCAGCTGGGAATCGGTGGGGCCCATAGATGCCCGCGATGATCTGTTCGACCAGCTGATGCGGCGCTGGCGCTTCCCGACGCTGACTGTGCATCATGTGGACATATCCACTGTGGCCGCGCGCACCAACACCACGTTAATTCCGGCTGCCGCCCAGGCGTCGCTGAGCGTGCGTGTGGTGCCCGACCAGTCGCTGGAGGATATCTGCCAGAAACTGCGCAGCCATGTGGAGACTATTTTCAACCAGATGCAGCAGTCACGCCATGCCAGCAACAAGGGCGTTTTGGACAACCTCAGGCTGCACCTGGATGTCCACCCGAATGCCCAGTGGTGGCTGGCCGACCCCGACACGCCTGTGTACCAGGCGGCCGCCAAGGCTATTCGCGAGGAGTGGCAGATGGCCAACCAGGCGCATGTCCCGCTGCTGATTCGCGAGGGCGGGTCGATTCCGGCTGTGCCCTGGCTCGAGGAGTTCTTTGGACCCGATGCCATAGCTGTCAATCTGCCCATGGGCCAGTCCTCGGACAATGCTCATCTGGATAACGAGCGCATTTCGCTGGTCAACCTGGTGCGCGGCCGCCAGATCGTCTGGCGCCTGCTCAAGGACATTGACCAGGCTTTGCTGATTAATCCGCCTTGCCAGCTCTAATCAGCACCCCTACGCCAACCTACTGACGACACTTCTAAAACCCCCACCTCTTCCTTTTCACATTCACGCATCACTTTTTTTTTTCTACTCTTTCATTCTTTATTACCATGGGCATAAAGTACGTCTTCCTAGTTAGTCGCCAAGGCAAATTGCGCCTAGTCAAATGGTACATCACCTTGCCGCAGAAAGAAAAGGCCAAAATTGTCAAAGAGGTCAGCCAATTGGTGCTGGCGCGTCGGCCCAAGCTGTGCAATTTCATCGAGCACAAGGACACCAAAGTGGTTTACCGCAAATACGCCTCGCTGTACTTTGTCGCCGGCATTGACATGGACGACAACGAATTGATCACTCTCGAGATAATCCACCGCTTCGTCGAAGTGCTCGACCGCTACTTTGGCAATGTCTGCGAGCTCGACCTGATTTTCCACTTCCAAAAGGCGTATTTTGTCTTGGACGAGATGATCATGGCCGGCGAGCTGCAGGAGTCGAGCAAGAAGACCGTGCTGAGAGTCATGGCGCAGCAGGACGAGACCGAGGCCACAGAGAATGCCGAGCGTGGGTGGGGAGATATCAAGTAAGTACCAGGGGAATAGGGCGCGATGGCTTGCTGTGTTTTATCCGTCAATTGAAACCATGACACTTTTCCTTTTTCCTATAGACTCGAAGATATTTTGGATGCTTTCTAACTACCTTACCCTTTTTCCTGATATTGTACTTTTTTTTAGCTTGGAAGGCATTGCCCGTACTGCCATGGTTACCGTGCAAGAGTTCAAGCAGTCGTTCACCCGCTAATACCCGTTTTTCATTTACTCCATAAACTTGCCACAATATCATTTCTGATTTCAGAAACAAAGGCCATCGACATCAGTTACCAAAAAAAAAAAAAAAAAAAAAAAGAGAAACACCCATTCGCTTCAGCTCACTCTCTAAACAAAACGCAGCCATTCCCTGTTCCATCGCACTTCATGGGTATTCTCGCCGATCTGGGCGGCTCAGCCGCCGCAAAAATCACCTCAACCGAAGAATACCAGGATGCTTTGCAGCGCAGTTTTCTGACACCGCTGGCCCATGCAAGCCCTGGAGACCAGGCCAACATAATCGGCGTGGTCACGCACTGCACAGAGCCCAAGGAGACACGTACCCACGACTACTCGGTCTGCATAAACCTGGTCGATCCCTCACTACCGCTCGCCGGCTTTCTTCCCTGCATTGCATTCCGCGCATCACTCAACCAGTGCCGCAATCTGGTATGTGTTCCCGGCGACATAGTAGTATTTGACCGAGTCAAAATCCAGGTGTTCGAAAAGGCGCACCAGGCCGTCGGCTTCAAGGACAAGGAGGCGGATATAGTGCGCGTGGACATGTCGGTGGCCAAGATGCACCCAGTGGTCAGGTATCTGCGCGAGTGGTGGCAGCAGCGACCGGTTAGCGAAATCCTAATCCCAGCCAAGATGCCATTAGAGCATATGGAGGGTATGCCGACAGAGAAGCAGAGGCCGAAAGTCACCAGCAGCAGCCGACCGCAAGCGCCCAAGCCCATGTCGGGCTCGAAAAACCTGCAGCAGGTGCACCAGCTGGTTCCCGGGAATTTCTCCGACATAATCGTCGAAATCCTGCATGTCACGCACCACGACCGGTCCTGGCACTGCCTAGTCACAGACTACTCTGAGAACCCGCTAGTGCACGAAACCAAAACGCCAACCACGCCCGTTGTCGGCGGCAAGCGCCTGGTGCCGTTGATAATCAACAACCCACAGTATATCCCTGGCCTGCCCAGCGAGCTGTTGCTGAATGCTTTTTACAAGTTCCGCCGGTGCCATGTACGGGAGACCGATATGGATGGTATGCAGCTGATGATGATGCCGGATGCAATGTATCCAGACAAAATCCTGGTGCGCATGGTGAAGGAGGACAGCGAGGATTTGCGTCCGTTGCTGAGGCGCCGCGCAAAGTGCCTGAGGCAAGTGAAGCCGCGCAAAATTTCAACGAGACAGACGGACTTGGGCGCAGGTGCCAAATCCGCTGAACCTACCAAAAGCGCTTACCGAAATGCCGCAGTAACACCGATCGCGGACATTCTTGGTGGCAGTGAGGTGAGTCTTCTTGGGGCTCGGTGGAATATCTGGCTGTTAAACACATGTAGTGTGCATACCTAGCCATGTCCGAGAACCGCCCACAGGTATTTGAGACCCGAATGCACTTTGTGCTGACTGAATAGCCCTTCCTGTAGATGAATGCGCAGTACCGCATTCACGCCCAAATCACCAGCACCTACCCCGCGCTGGTTTCCAGCTGTTCCGTACATGTCTGCGCTCACTGCCACACACGCCTGGTGACCAGCACAGCCTGCTGCACTGGCGCAGGATCTGTCACAGAGCACCGCTTTGTGCTGGAACTGACCGATGGCTCAGCCTCTGTTCTGGCCGTCTGCCAAGGCAGCTATGCAAAGAGATTGCTAGCGCGCGTGCCTGCCTCGCCTGGGGACGGATCGCTACGATCGCTGTGGCCGGCCGGCCAGCCGTTTGACTTTGGTGTGGCGAGTGTGCTGCTGCCGGGACCTGGACCGGCGCATGGATCGCTGGTTAGGACGCTGGTTGTGGTAGACATGTAAAGACAAATTGCCAGTGTTTTTTGGGGATGGCTGGCAAGGGCCTGTTGTTGTGATTTGCTATCTCAAGACCATCCCCCGGATTTCTAAACTCCTCGCAGTCACTCGGTGCTCCGCAGGCTTGGGTTAATTTGTTAAGAAACCAGGTGCCATATTTTTTTCTTATCTTGCAGGCATCTTGCTTTTTTCTCATGACTTCTGCTCTACCTGTGTCCACGGATTACGGACATGGGCCACGGGCGGAAACAGATCTTTTTCCCTTTGCAACACCTTCCTGATCCGAACATTTCACGATGAATCATAAGCTGCCCTTTCCCACATGTGCACTGTTTGTTCACACGGTGATGACCCCCCAGACATGCATATCTCGCAATGCAGCCATGTTCGCTGGTCAGTAGAAGAGCGCGTCTCCTCCCACCCACAAACCAGGGTCTGCATAACCTTCTGCGCATTGAGTAGCACACACATGTCTTCGCCCCCCAGTGATGCCTCGAATTTGGCCCTTCCCTTGTCATCCAGGCCCCACCAGTCCGAAGTCCGAGATGCGGAAACGCAGTCTTATTCGCACAAAATAAAAATTGCGAAATTCAGATCGACATTTTCCGTTCGCAAAACCCAGGATCATTTAGATGCTCTTTCTCTTTGAGAAACCTATTTGGCCCAAGTTCCGAAGAGATTCGCCTTTGGGGGAGGCGATAGGCATTTTTTTTCGCTGTGACTTGTTTCCCGAGAGGAGCCTTGCCTAATGCCCCCCACTGGGAACTCGCGGGTAGCTTATATAAAGCGGCCATGTGCCTGCGCTTTTCCTTGTCTGAGGTATCTGCTGTCTTGCCGGTAATCGCTACATTCTAATATTCCCTATTATTCTGTTTAATATCCTTCCATCAAATTTCTCCCAGCCTCCTTTTTCCATACACGGAATCCGATCTTCGCTAGATACAGTATAAAGGCAGACACCACACTGCATAATGTCGCACATCAAAAATAACAGCGACGTGACCACGTCGGAGATTGAACACACTATCCGAGACACGGACACCATGTCCACAGTGAGCAGCCGCAGCCCCTACACCGACAAAGTATCGGAGTACTCTGGAGATGGCCAGGACAACACGGCCGACGAGAAGGGAAGCATCCGGGAATCGCCCTCATCAACAGATGTCTCGCAGCCCCCGCCCCGGTGGTGGGAGAGTAAGTCGTACGAAGAGCAGCCGGTTGACGGTAAATATGGGTGGATCGTGGTAACCGCCGGTTGTTTCATGCTGATGTTCTCTATGGGCTGTGTCAACAGCTACGGGTCGTACCAGACGTATTACCATGCACACCAGTTCCCAGAAGAGGACATGTCGACCTTAGCATGGATCGGTACTCTGCAATTCGCTGTCATGAATGCGGTCGGCATCCCAGCCGGAATCCTGTGCGAGCGGCTAGATTCCCGTCTGGTCACCTTCCTCGGCGGTATCATCATGGGCATCTCTCTGATCATCGCGTCATTCTGTGACTCGGCTGTCTGGAAGCTGATTCTAACACAGGGAATCGCCTTCTCACTTGGCGCATCCCTGGTCTTTATCCCTGCTACATCTATCCCGTCCCAGTGGTTCGTCAAGTACCGCCCGCTGGCCATTGGCATTGTTGTCGCTGGCAGCGGTATCGGTGGCCTGTGGCTGACTCCGGCTACCGACAGTATGATCAAGAACCTTGGCACCGGCTGGTCTCTGCGCATCACCGGAATTATCATTATCGCCGTTAACTCTGTGTCGAGCATTTTCATGCGCAACCGCTTGAAGGTACAGTCACGCGATAAGGTCGTCGATTTTGGACTTTTGCGCGACATCCGGTTCATGTTCATTTTCGCCGGCTCCATCTGTGCAACCACTGGCTACTTCACTCCCTTCTTTGATATGCCAACCTATGCGGCCAAGGTCGTCCACATGGAGGAAAACCTGGCCAGCAACCTAGTCACCATCATCAATGCCGCATCGACTGCCGGCCGTGTCCTGACAGGTCAGATTGCCGTAATCCTTGGCAACATCAATGCCCTGGTCCTCTGCATGTGCATTGCTGCACTCAGCCTACTGGTCCTGTGGCTGCCGTTTGAAACTCCCGGTACCGTCATTGCGTGCACGATCATTTACGGCTTCTTCTGCGGCGGCTTCATCAGCCTTTTGCCCGTCATTATTGCCAATCTATGGGGCGTCAACCGCATCGCGACCATTATCGGCCTGCTCTATATTGCCAATTTTATCGGCACCCTTTGTGGTGCCCCGTCGTCGAGCGCTATCCTGGATAATATTGGCCATGGCACCAATTTCCGCCCTACTATTGCATTCTCGGGTTGCTTTATGGCTGCCGCATTCTTGATGTTCTGTTGTTTGCGCATTGCAGCCAGCAGAGATTTTAAGAAGAGGATCTAAGCTCTGGTCTTTCTTTTTTTTGCACTTTTTATTCACAACCAATCACCCATATCATAAATGCACTATTTTTTGGTATCCATGTTTGTACTGTTGTGTTTGTTGAATGTATCAGAAAATTATATTACTTCTCACCCTTTTCCTATTCTTTCCTTTTATTCTCGAATCGGTCCAGTCACCGGCCAGGTCTCTTTGCTTCCTTTTTTTCTTCACTAATTCCCTATTAATCTCTTCAAGACTGCCTTGGTCTGTCTCTTTTCCAATATATTCTCTTTTACTTGGGTGCTACAGCCCGACCAAACTCAATAGCTCGTAACCTCAAACACTCTTTTGGTTGTTTGCTTTTGACTGTGTCTTCAACCGCGTCAAGCTATGTAGTGGAACATGATCTTATGTGCCTATATTGATATATGGCACGCTACTGGTCACATAATGCTCCGTTGCTTATTGGCTGAGCGGAGGAATCACAATAGAGTATTCACCCACCCTTGAAGTATGCAGCTACTCTACGGGGTTCAAGTGTGTCTCGCTCGGCATGCTTTGGGTGGTATGGATGATTATCGGCGTGTATATTATTCGTCTGCTCAACATTCAGTCCAACTACAACGATTTTTGGCATTTCATTGGCATCTACGTGCTGTGCCTGGTCGCCATGCTGTTCACAACACTTGTTCATCTTATTCGCCCACGATTTCCTTTCAGCCGTATCTTGCGCTGCCTTTTAACTTCTGTCGACCTGGTTGTCGGAAATTTGTGCATCTGGATCCTGATGGTATATCCTGCCAACCAGTGTATTTTCCACCGCGGCGAATACTTGAATATCTGGCCGCTTCGCCTGACTCATTATGAACAAAAGGCGGATATCCAGGCTAAAATCGAGTAGACTGTCAGAAGGTTACAAGCGATACAAGTATATTGTAGAGCGGGCTGAAACACCTGAAGATATATGTATTGAGAAAGTGTGAGAGAGTGCAGGAAGGCACTAAGCAAGTAGAAAAATATAGAAGAAAGACAGGAAGGATCCGGTCCAGTATTGGACTGGGTAGCAAAATATAAAGAGAAAATAGAACAATGAAATAAGGAAAATCTAATTCTGATATAGACTTCAGAAAGTACCAGCAGTATACTACATGCCGATATGGCTGCTTTTCAAAGACAGAACACACACTTTGCTAGAGATATATACACACTAAATCCAAACCTAGATGGATATACTGCAAGCATAATCGAGCACACCATGGGACTCAGCCAACCAATATATCCCGAAAGCTATTCTCTAAACTCTGACGATATACAAGGTTCTTATGGATGTTCAAAGCGTATTCTATATCACATTTCTTAGCTGAGAAATATAAGCCAAGATGCATTTATTGTGGTAATCTACTAGTGATAGCATGAAACTCTATAGGGTGGCTAGGAGCTCCTCGCTCAGTGCATCTACTTGGTAAGTCAGACTGGATGTTCAGCTGGCCGCCTAGCTCAAGCTCTCCTGGCTGGGCTGGAAGTTCTTTCTCGTCCGCTGTATCGTCTTGGTGCGAGAATCTTACACTGGCAGATTCTGAGTATTCATCAACTCTTTTGTATACTGACGCTATCCTGTCACTCTCTAGCTGCAGTAGCCAGTCTTCCAAGTACGCTCGCCGGTAGAATATACTCCTAAACACTGGTATGAAAAGTATAATCCATACTGAAATATTTGTGACGCATGTATAAATAATCGTTGACATTACTCGATACTCTATGTCAAGCGGGTAATACGGAACAAGTCCAGTGAACAGAGCCGTGTGTAGGATATCAAATATTCCCAGGAACAGGATTATTGAGAACTCGCCGATCTCGCTAAACACTGAGTAAATTTCGCGAAGACGCCAGATTATAAATCCACAGGCAGTCAACGATACCCAGACGAATGCCATTCCGGTATAGAGAATGTACAATGAGATACTGCACATTTGTACACGTGGGATAAAATGAACTGGTGACTCACCACCAGCAGCATGTGCGTTGATACAGATTACGAATATGATAGTAAACAATGATGCCATCGGTATGTAAAATGGCAGTCCCCGAGCTTTCTTCCCTTGAGCAAAGATGAGATCCATCGTATAGGCGCGCATAAATATGGCAGCAGCATAGGAACATACTAGGAATGCCCTTACCCAGATCACCCACAGTTTGCAATTCTGCCAAAATCCAACAACATTAATATGGCCATTTGTGACCACGTCGCCTATATACCAGATGATGCCAGAGAGAAGCATGAGTGTTGTAAGTGGAAGATTCTTTGCTCGAATTGGCGGGTAAGAGATGTTGAGCCATGCGTATATAACTAGAAGTGCTGTGGTACCAAATATTGATGTGCATGCAATTATTGCTGCACGGTCAGGTGTCCCGACAGGATCCAGTGCTTTTGACAAAAGGCTTCCTGCTGCTGCAATTCAGTCGGTGTCGGATATAGCTGGGTACATAAGGTATAAATATGATAGAAAAAAACAAACTATGCAGAGGGTCAAATGAAAATCGGCTGAGAATGAGGTGATAGGGTAAGTAATATACTCGAATATTTGCACAGCAGAGCACTCAGGGCTGTCCAAAGATAAAATATGCAAAAGGGTAAAGAACACGCTATTCACAATTGTCCAAAAAAAAGTATGTAGTAAAAATACACTGGTTTTTGCCACTATTCATGCACTATACACCACACTACTCTGCAGCTTTCATTATGTTTTTTATTTATTATCTAGGGTT